GAACGAGCAGCTCCGAAAGGAGCGGGACGATCGGCTGCGGAGAACGAGCAGCTCCGAAAGGCAGCGGGACGATGCGGCTGCGGAGAACGAGCAGCTCCGAAAGGCAGCGGGACGATACGGCTGCGGAGAACGAGCAGCTCCGAAAGCAGCGGGACGACGCGGCTGCGGAGAACGAGCAGCTCCGAAAGCAGCGGGACGATGCGGCTGCGGAGAACGAGCAGCTCCGAAAGCAGCGGGACGATGAGGTTGTTGTTCGTAATGTTATGTGTTTTGCACGTGGATGTGATGGATATGGTGTGAATGGTGTGAGGGTGAGGGATAATTTGCATTTGTTTTGCCCTTCATTGTCGTCGGTGGAGCGGAAGGTGGATTTTGTATTAGATGGTGGGATGAAAGGGGTTTTGCTGTGTGAAAGAAAGTTGTTGCCTGGGGATGGAGTGGAGGATTTGGATGAGCATTCGTTTAGTGGTCGGTGTGGTTGTGGTGTTGTTGTGCATGATGCGCGTGTTGTGGGTGATTTTAATGAACCCCGACCCCACGATGGGGAGTCTTACAATTTGCAGTTGATGGGTGTTGGGCCTTCAGTTGGCCTGGGCGTAAAATATAAAGGTGTCGAACGGGAAGGGTACACCGTGTCTTCAAAACCAATCAGGGGGTGCTCTCGCCTTGTTGTGAGTGGTGCAGCGCTTGGCACGTTCCGTGATTAAATTTAGTTCGTTTTTGTTGTTTGCACCCTGAGTGTAAGAAGTATGGGTTTTATTTATATGTTTTTGGGTTGATGTTTTTTTTTTTAAGTTGTGCGGTTTGGTTCGTTTTTATTTTTATTTTTGTACGCCGTTGATGGTTGGACGTGTGGGGTTTCTGCGTGAGGAGGTTTTTCGCGGTGTGGGCTGCGCGCGTGATTGTGATGAGTGCTTGCTGCCTTCTGAGGAAGTTATTTACTTTTTTTCTTTTTTTTTCGGTGTTGTGCTTGTGACTGGTTGATGCATGCAGCAGCGGCGACGCACTTCGGTGGTGGGGGGATGGAGAAGAAGTCGCCCTCACTCTGTTCCCGCCTAGAGAGGGCCATCACATCTTTTCTGTACAACGACTCTCTTGGACGTTCACGGGCCTGGCGGATGGGACTGCAGGTTCCACTCTGGTTCTGGACGCACCAGCTCACCGTAGAGAGTGAGCGAGAGGGGCGGGAGGTGCAGAAGGTGGTGAATCTTGTGCGTTGGTTTCACGACAATGGTGCAAATGTGACGCAAGTTGCGATTATCATCCCGGGCGAGATGAAGCCCAGGCTTCGTGCCGAGCTGGTGACAGCTTTACAGAGCGGTGCGACTTCAGAAGAGCTGACACTGCCGATACTGTTGGGACCGCATGAGCTGACTGCGATGAATGCACGGGATCACATTGTGCATCAGTTCGAGGTTGTTCTTTACGTCCTGGCGCTTCCCCCAGTGGGCCGCTTCTTGCATGTAGCTAAGCAGCAAGAACAGTTTCTTGGCGACGCAATTGCTGGCGCAGGAGGTGCGTTTATTTTAATTGGGGATGTGGGCTGGACCTCACCGCATATTACTGTTCAATGGCCGCAGTGGAGAACGTTTGTAATGAAGTTAGAGGAAGAGACACCCCTCGTTTCCTCAGAAGGCAGTGCAAAGTTGCCTGATGGTGCGAGATTTTCCTCGTTGGTGGGAACTCACATCCCGTTGTGCTGTGCAAGGCACGTGGAGCAACGTCAGCTGGAGCACGGCGTTGCACCAATCGTCCGGACCTGCAGGCGATTGTGTCTTCAGCCCTTTCTTTGCCAGCGGGATGGGCATGTGTGCATGGAGCCATGCCACCCACGTGTCTCACATGCAAACTGCCCGTACGCATGTCAAACGCTTATGCCATGCACTCATGAATGCTTGCAGAGCTGCTCAGAGCGATGCAATTGCTTTGAAGTTCATGAGCATCCTCTTCCCTGTTCCCACAAGGCTGTCATAGGCATGGATAAGGCCACCATGCAGCCCATCTACGCAGAGGTTCGACATATATTTAAAGGGTACTGTGCCGATACCGAGCTTCCCTGTGTTGTTGAATATACTACCGAGTGTGCACGATGCTTGGGACCCTTGATGACAACGTGTTCAGAGGCGCGACAACACAACCATACATTAGAGCAAAAGACAATGCTGTGCTCAGGCTGCATTCGTTTGGAGCGTGAGGTGCGGGCCAAGGTTCTGGGTGAAATCCTCGTCAAAACAGAAGAGGCGAAACGCTTGATGAAGGTGGAGATGCAACGAAGCTTGCATCAGCAGCGAAAAGCGTCATCACAGGGGCTGTTTCAGGAGGGCAGTCGTGTTACAATATGCGACGTCCTCAAGATTGTCAAGCCGTTGTGCGCTGATGCAGACTTCCCTGGCGTGAAGTTTGTGGACTACGATGCTCCTGACTTCTACGCCTCTATGGATGGGGCGTACGGGACGTTTGTCAGTCGCCACGTGGATATTGACGACCTCAGCGAGGTGCGCAATCTCATTCGTCTGCGTGACGGTCAACACGTGCTGGTGGCTGACGGCGGCGTCAGCCTGATCCGCGCTCTCACCTCCAACATAACACAACAGGCCCCTGTCCTTCTCTTGACATACAACGGTGGTGTGGCCAACGGTGGCAGCGGTGACCGTGGCGTGTCTGCCTCCCTGAATGATAGTGTGGTCTTTGCAAAGACAGCGAAGATGATTGGTCGGAGTTATTACCTTCCCGTCCCTGTACCCTGCGGCGACAGTACCATTTCCGACAAAATTGTGCGGGTGACGGCGGTGGATCCCGCGTCTCCGGAGGGCGTTGTGGTGGAATGCACCCGCATGTCCGTCATTCAGCACGCCGACGAGGCCCATGACGGTGATCATGAGGGCGATGATAAGAGTAATACTGCAACTTCTGACTCTCTGGCGTGTAAAAGGCCCCGACTGGAGGCTGCACCACCAAAGTCGCACCACTTCCGCATCTCCGTCGAGGCCTTGACATTTACGGTTCCTGCTGCTGTGCTGGAGCCAATCGAGGGCTATGCGGCAGGAAGGGAGGTGGTGGTTCTCGACCCCACCCGTCAGGTGACTAATCCACACGACGTGGAAATTTTCGAGGCGGCTTTGGCGCAAATGCCCGGTATTAATATGAGGAGCGTCGTGATCTCAACGGTGCCGGTTGGGAAGGACACGTCCTTCATACTTCTTGGGGTCGTGAACTCGCCGTCAAATCTGGAGAAACGGTACGGCCCCTGTGCCGTATTGCGGCGCCACGTTCGACTTGTTACGGTGCGGTCAGGGCGGCGAGGACGAGGGTCTCATGGACGTCTTTCTACCTTACAACATGTGGCGAACGTCAATGGTGGTGCGGGGGACACGATGGTGGTTCTGGTGCCGTTTGTTTTTACCGCCGCCGATGAACTGTTGGAGGCGGAGAACAGCCTTGATGCCGCCGCTGTGGAGAAGTTTGAGCAGCAGGTGCGCGACACGATTGCTGAGAGGAGTGAGGAGCTGGCGATTAGGCACGACGAGGAGGCGTTCCACCAGCAGCGAAAGATGCCGGAGGTGACGGAGGAGGCGCTCGCACAGGACCGGTTTGCATACAGCATCCCGATCGCTCTGCCGACGGCGGAGTCACTCGCGGGCGTTCGCACACGTCACGCGCGTTTGTTGTGCGCGTCACCGACGTCATTGTGTCTGAGTAAGCAGAAGGACGCCCTTGCATTTAAGCAGCAGCAGTTGGGTCTCAACAAGTGGGTTGAGGCGATGCGGACTCGCTACGCACAGGAGAGGGCGGCGGACGTTGCGTACTGCAAAGGGCTGCAACTGACGGCGGCTATGAAAAAGTGAGGGCGTAGCCTTCTTTTCTTGTCAAAGGAGAACGTCGACGGCAAAGGCGACGACAGCAAATGAGAAAACAAGCAACAACAAAAAAAGGAAAGAAAATGCTGAATAAGGTAGTGACGTGTGGTTGTAATGCACACAGGCATGCTCTCTAAGGCCTCAACCATCCCCCGTTTGCGAGTAGATACGAACTGCTGCTTTGCTTCACCTCTGCCATCGCGTCTTCTGTGTCCTACTGTACCTTCTTTTATCTATCCTTTTCTTCTCTCGATTTGTATAATATATATATATATATGTCGGTCTGTTGTTAGTGAAGTTGGCGTGCGGGGCGGTGTTGAACTTGGCGATGGCAGCGAGCGAGATTGTACGCGGACGGCAGTGGGCGCACGGTCCGCCAACGAAGCCGAAGGTCTTGGCATCCGAAGGAACAAACAAAAGTCGCGAGCGGAACAAAAGGGATTAGTAGTGGCACCCCGTATGCGGCGCAGTCGCGAAAGGAATGGATGAAAGACAATAATGAAACAACAACAAGGCAGACAAAAAGAAGGAAATACAGAGAGAAAGCGTGCACCGTAGCAACAGCAGGTGCATTACCACCCGTCTCAGAAGGGATGGCTGCGTGGTGTGGTCGAGGCGGTGCTCGACAGCGAGAAGAAAGTACAGGTGGTGAGTGCGTGAACCTGAAACACGGAAACGGTCCCACTGGCGCAAATTCACGGCTACATGGAGCAGGCCTACGACGCGAATGACCCTCACGTGTTTCACCTGGGCGACCTCCACGTGTCGACCACCCTGTACCGCATTAAGAAGTGCTTTGAGAAGCCAAAGTAGCAGTACTCCATTGTGGGAAGGATGATTCTCAGTGTGAACGCCTTCCAACTCATGCGTTTTAACGGTGACTCCCATCAAGAGAAACCATCCCAACTCCCCACAATCCCACTTTTTGCTGCCGCATATTTGGAAGATGGCGCACAAGGCCTACGCCCAGATGGTCATACGGCGTCTTGGGAGTTAGTCTGTCGTCCTCCCCGGCGAATCGGGGAGTGGAAAGACAGAGAACACCAAAATATTGATGTTCCATCTTGGGGATATGAGTTTCATACACAGCGGCAACACCATGCAGAGGAAAGTGACAGACATGTTGGCCGAGTACCTAAATCGCAGTAATCCCGTACTTTGGCGTTCTTTGGAAATACCAGTGCGGTACGCAATGACCAACTTCTCGCGCTTTGGCAAGCACATTAAGCTTTGCTTTGACCCAAACTCTGGCGTCATGCTTGTTGGGCAGACGGTTACGTATATGTTGGAGAAGAGTCGACGCCTGCTACAGGCTACAGGGGAGCGGAATTATTACCACTTCTAAGAGAGGCTTGCGGGACTTTTACCGGAGGAAACAAAAAAAAAACGGGGTTTGGTGGCCTCGAATTTGCGCTTGAATATATAGTTGCCTAAGCGGCGGAAATACCTTCGGCCGACGCCGTGTTGATGGCGAAGTCTTGAATGGTGCTCAAGAGATTCAGAATGTACTCCACGCCCTTATTATCATTGGCGTAGGCGCCGATGTGTGGAAGAACACTCTCAGGGTCTTGGCTATTATTCTCCATCTGGTGACACTGCGCTTTGACCTTGGCCAAACCGACAAGGCATGCATTGAATATGAGGCACCAGCTCACACCGCCTGCTCCCTGCTGCTGGTGGAACCTGTGCTACTTCTGGAACACTTCCCTGTGAGGAGTCACACGAGTCTCGTAACGATTTACACCAACAAGACAGAGGTGAAGAAATTGTGTGGGACGTTCTGCAAAGCCATCTACGTTGGCCTCTTTTGATCGCATTGCGGATTTTGTGGGCAACTCATTAAGCCGCAGGAGGACGTCAGGTCACTCCAGGTACATTGGACTTCTGGACATCTTCGGCTTTGAGAACTTTACACGCAACAGTTCTGAGTAAATCTGCATCAACTGCGCCAATGGGTCGCTGCAAAATCACTACAACAAATACAAATTTATCAACGACGAGGCGGAGTGCAGGCGGGAGGGCATTGATGTTCTAAGAATTGTTTTTCCCGACAACTCGGTGTGTGTGCAGATGTTTGATCAGAAGAATACCGGCATCATCTCCGTGCTTGACGGAAAATGCCATTTTAAGAGAGGCACAGTAGAGCGCTTCACGCTGATTCTTTTGGAAACCTGGGCACGGAAAGGCAAATGCTTTGTGCAGCCCACGAGCATAGTTCGGAACCGGTTCGGCGCCAACCACTACGCGGCGTTTGTGAACTACAACACGGAGGAGTGGCTGGAGAAGAAGACGGGTGGGGTGAGGGAAGAGGCGTATCAATGCATCCTCAGCTTTGGGGGTCCGTTTATTTGGACATTGACGCCGAAGGACTTCACGTCGGATAAGTGCAAGCAGAGGGTGACTTTCCGCTTTAAGGCGCAGTTGGCTGACTTGCTGGTGGATCTGGAATCTACGGAGACACAGTTCATCCGATGCATCACGCCCAACGTGGAGGCCAGTCCCAGCACTCTGAACAACTGTCTTAAATCACCAGGGATGCCCTGTACGCCGTTGGGTGGAGCAATTTTGGCAAATATTTTTGTCTCATCATGCCGCAGGCAACGCTCAAGCTATACAAGCAAAAAAAACTTTAAATTTGCCGCAACGAACTTCCTCATCTACCACTAGCAACTGTGGGGTTGGCTAGACCCTAACTGCGCTACTGGGCACACACAGGTGTTTCTCTGTGTGCAGGTTTAATCGTCGGTGGAACGGCTGTTGCTGCGGCGTAAAGCGTGGCTCTTGCGTCGATGTGTGCCTTTCCTGTTACGCTGGGTTTACACCAGTCAGGGACTAAAACGTCTCGCCAAGGGGCGGTGCCAGTCAAAGGCGGAGCGTGAATGTGTAATTGCGGAGATCAACGCAAACGATTTCACACCAACGCAAGCGGAGTGGGTGGAGGAGCTTGTTTCGCTCTTCCCCCCACGGTTGACGTCTTGACGATCGTCGATGTGGTTGCAGCCTTGCTGAAATGTGATGAGTCTGTGGAGGCTACGGCGGAGTTTCGGCAACAGTGCGTTGATGATGGCTCTCTGGCGTTGACGCTTACGCGTGTCATGAGTGAGGCTGAGGTGCGGCTGGCGGTGGTGAGATCCCTCTTGGATGGCGACGTCACCACCCCGGCGAGGCTGTTGCAGTGCGAGCATGCGGAACTCAAACAGTTCGGTATGACGGACGTCGAGGTTGCTGCCGTTACCCGCGCGGCGCTCAAGGTGGAGTCCGCCCGCGTGAAATTGGAGCGGCTCCAGAGCAGAATTGGGACAAGGTAGCTAGAGAAGTTGCCGGTGAGGTGATGCGCCGTGTGTTAACGCAATCTGACCTTGCTCACGAAGGTGGGCAAACTAATGGAGATGGGATTCCTCCGCAACCGCGTGGAACTCGCATCGACGCACCACAGCGGCGACGCACAGAAGGCTGCTGAACCTCTCTTGCAGGGCAGTGTTGGGAAGCACGTCCACGAGACTCCTCCCCCCATGGCGTCAACGGCAAATGAACTTCTCTCGACCCCGAGGTGCAGCAGCTCGTTAGGCATGGCGTCACAAGGACCACTGCAAGGCAGTTACTTTGCAAGACAAGAGGAAATGTTGACGGGGCCGTCCGACGGGTTTTCCCTCCTGTTTCATTACGACGGTCATGCACGCTCCCCTCCATCTTTTTCCATTCCTCAACCTGCTTTTATGTTTGTTTTTACACCTTAGCACCTCTTTGCATCTCTCCGGTCTTACGCTACTGCCCGTAGAAAAATATCAACGACACTTGGAAGGAAGGAAGAGTGGGAAAGCAAGAAATGCGCAAAAGGCCACGAAAAAAGGAAACATAAACACTATGGAAAAAGGGGGAAAAAGTAGGGGCGAATGTTGAAGCCTTGTGGGAATGGTTTCCCTGTTTCTTTCTTGTTTTGTTTCCCTTTGCGACGTTGGTGCTTGGGCTCTGAGGTTACATGCACGCATGCTGTGTGTGTGTGTGTGCTTTTCTTCTTTTCAGTGGGTGTGAATGCGGGTATCGTGTGCCATTATTTGTTTGTGTGTCTGTTTGTCGAGGCTCTGGGGGGACAGAGAGAGGGAGGGTGGCTTACTCGTTGTTTTGTTTTGTTTCTGTTCTTATTCGCAGATGTGGGCACGCCAGTATGCACCGGAGCGACTTCCTACGGCCACCATCGCTCTTGCCCCTACAGGTGTGAGTGCAACAATGAACTGCTGCTGTATTTGAATGCAGCACATGTGTGAATGATGGGGTCCGTAGATTGCGGGTGCTTCAGGATGGCTCAGCGCACGCTGAGGGGACATCAACCCACAGATGCATGAACAACCATCCTCCAGAGAGTTGGGCTGACGCAGATAGGGAAACCCACGCTGTGAATATGTAATGTATAGAAAGGAATAGGGCGAGGAAGGTGAGAACAGCGGAGGGGGGCAAACAGTTTTTTGTAAGCCGTGCTTGTCACACTCCTCTCCCCTTTTTTTTTCGTAATATTTTCTTCTTCTTCCCGCGCATCAGTATATAACTGCGTAGATTGGGGCCTTCTCTTTGGTCACTGTTAATAATGATCCCATCCATTATTTTTTTATTTTGGTTTTTATGCTTTTAATTTTTTATTCTCTTTTATATTATTAACGCGATCTCTCTCTGCCCGTATGGCTATTTCTGTATGCAGGAGAGATTCCGTGGGGGGCCGTGGCGGTGGGGATCACGAGACTCTGCGAGCCGCAGGCAAATGCGTAGAAGTTTTTTTTTTTTTTGGGGGGGGGGGGACGTGCGAGAAGACGTGTGGCGGGGTGAGGAGATTGCCTGCGTTACAGGCTGTGCATGCAAACTTATTTCCAGCCTTTTTTTCCTTGGAGTATTCTTTTGTCCGTTTGTGTTTATCGCCAAAGCAGCTGCCATCGTTTTATCTCTCGTTTGTTTGTTTGTGGGTTTGCTGACATTACCCTTTTTGATGTCATCTTCTCTCTCTCGTTTGTGTGGGCTACCGCGCCCAGTCACTGTTGCAAATTTTCCAACAGTCTGCTGACTTACACGCCGTGCCGGAGGCAAATAAAAAAAGGGTGACACGGCAGCACCTTCCAGTTTTTATTTTAGACGTGATACGCCATATTTTTATTGTTTTTTTTCTCCCCTTTTTTTTGTTGTTGTTACAAAGCCACAGGGAGCGAGAGAGACATACGTACCACCTCGACGAGTCGACGTTGCTGTCAGCACGCTGAGATGGAAGTGTTGGGTCGCAGTGGACGCGGCATCATGTCGCTTGCCGCATCGACATCGGTGCCCACCGGCTTCGCATCTCTCGAAGACACCGGCGCTGTGACGTTGTGGGACACGCGGCTGAAACGTAAGGACTATGCGTGCGTGGGCAGAGGAGCAAAACAAGGCAGTAGAGATGCCACCGAGTTGCTGCTTGCATCGGACCGACACATGGCCGTAGTTCTGGCGGAGAATCTCATCTTGGCTTATGATCTTCGCCAACAGGCACTGCTGCATGTCTTTAGGCATGACGCTGAGACGGTGATATTTCTTAGCGGTGCCCATCCGCGTGGGGCCCCCACAACCCTCATTGCCGATGAGTATGGTGTGATTATTCCCTTTGATTTGACTCAGTTTGCCCCAACAGCGTGTGTCTCAGAGCGTTACTTTGGGGCAGAGAAGGAGCTGTCATCGCCGTGCTTTGGTTCCTTGTCGAATTACTGTTGTGGTCTTGGGGTATTGCAGGTAGATGACGGGAACGCGGTGTGTTCCATGGGAATGGACGGCAATGGTGAACTTTACACGGACCCACTTGAGCCGTCGGTGAAATTTTGTTTGATGGATGACTTGGTGCCTACAGGGGGGCAAGTGGTGAATCCACCTTTTCCCACAACTTGTCATTTCCTGCGAGAGTACATGGTTGTGGGCAGGGCAAACGGCATGTATTCCATTGCCACCTTGGATACGAATGACAACGCCGTTGTTGAGCTCTTTGCTGCACCGGCTCACGCATTCAACGGCCTGTCTGTGGTGCTATGGACGAATGATGGTCATCTGATGACGTGCTCAATTTGCGGTGAAGTTTCCATGTGGGATGTGATGCCGCTCCTGCTGCAAGATTTACCCACTGACGAGGCAGAAGAAGGAGAATTACCGCCTCTCGAGAAGGCGTGTAGCGTGCGTGAGACCACGTGCCAGCAGTCTGTAGTGAATTGCGGGGCGATCCTTGGCTCAGGCGCATTTCTTGCTGGCGATACGATGGGGTTTGTGACGTCATGTGCAGCTTCACAGGCGTGAGGCGTACAAAACGATCCAAAATAACAACACCGCGTAAATAATGTCTTATCTTTATGGAGCGGCGCTTGTTTCTTTCTTTCTCTATTCCGTGCGCCCTTTCTGTCTTTCCTACGGTGGTGAGAGGAGACATGAGCCACATGCTTTCCATGTGCACCCCACTTCGGCGGTCTTGAGACTTTTTTAAATATCCGTTTACTCCTTTATTCCTTTTTGTTTTGACGTGATTTTTTTTTTTTATTCTGCATTTCCCCCTCCCTCTTTTTTTTTTTACATGTGAGTATGCCTGCCTTATCGCTTCACTTTTTTTTTCTTGTATTTCTGTTCAGCGCTTACTCTGCTTTCTAAGCCCCTGGCGTGCGAGGCAAAGCGCAATAGCGATGGTGGTGGGCAGACGTAAGGCGGATGGTGCCCCAAGCTGCGACTCGGCTGACCTGATTAAGTCTATGTATAATTTTATGTTCAAACTTTGGGTGGGAAAAACGCCACTGATGGACGACGTCGAAACGTATATCATCGGGTCAGGCATGTACAGTGGGTCGGAGACAACGAAGTGGGCTGACAAGGCAACGGCAGCGCTGCTGTATTTTTCGCATCGCAACCGCATTGTGCCTCTTATGAACGGGTCAACCACCGATCTCTTCTGGGGGTGCATGATTCGGACTGGCCAAATGATGCTAGCGCATGTCCTTATGCGCTACTTCACTGGTGGTGGGCCACGAATAGGCGATGAGAAGCTGCAAGAGTTGCGAGCAAAGGCACAGGTGCTCTTCTGTGACGTCCCATCAGCACCTTTTAGCATTCACGCCATAACTGCAGAGGGCGAAAGACATGGTGTTAAGTGCGGTGAGTGGTTTGGGCCGACACCGATAGCAAACACGCTGAGTGCACTCTCAGCGTCCTACCTGGCAGCAGGCGGGGAGGGTCCAGTAGTGTTGTCATTTCCTGATCGGCAAATTTTTGGAGAGCAGGTGAAGGAATTACTGCGGGAGTCAAAACATGTAGTGTTGCTTATTCCAGTGATGCTTGGGCCTCATGTTATCTCGAAGAAGTACGCGCGGTTTATGGAACGTTGTCTTGAAATGGAAAGCTCTGTCGGCATTCTTGGGGGGAAATCTCGTTCTGCGTACTTTCTCTTTGGTCACCAGGGCGACAGTGTGTTTTACTTGGACCCGCACTATCTTCAGATCGCCTTCACCTTGCCGGATAGACCGGGGGAGTTGACGTGTGCGAGGAGGGCTTTGCCTGCGACAAGCTATGATACCTCAATGACCCTGGGATTCTACGTTTCCTCACTTGCTAGTTTTGCCATCTTTGAGGAGGACCTGGCAAAGATAAACGCCGGTCTGACGTTCCCCCTTATTAGTATCTCCGCGGGTCGACCAGTAGAGGAGGGGAAGGTGGATGCGGACGCGAAGCTCAACCTGAACGAAAGTTTCTCTTTCCCACCTGGATAACATGAGGAATAAAAAAACCGATAAGGCAAAAATTAGGAAGGCATAAAAAAATATGGTGCATCGGTAAACATGCAGTGAAAAGCAACTGTGTCCATGGCAGCACGGTTATATTTCTCTTGGAGCAGGGGGCACAACCAATGTGAAAATAAGGTGCTGTGAGAGGAAGCGTCCGTGAGTGATGTTGGGCTGCGCACACACGTGTTTAGTATGCGTGGCTTTTTGGTGGCGGTGCTGCTGCCGGAGAGAGAGACAGGTGTGGATCGAATGTGTGCCTTTTCTTCGTCCCACGCGATATGGCAGCAGGCGGTCCGCCGACCCATGCGGCGCCGTTTCTTTTTTGTTTTTTTTGTTTTACTCGGTCTCTCGATATATATTTATATATTTATGTGCTTGTGTTTCTGCTGTCTTGTATCCACCCACATCGTTGTATAAACTTTTTTTTTTCTTATTCCCCTACTTGTTGTTATGTGTTTCTAGCGTGCTGCTCTCCCCAAAACCAACAATATGGGAAAGACCGTGCTGACCTGCCGTAAGGGCAACGGGTCTGTCTACCAGGTGCACGGCCACAAGCGCCTGGGCCCCGCCAAGCTCCGCATTCTCGACTACGCCGAGCGCCATGGTTTCATGCGTGGCGTGGTCAAGACGATTGAGCACGAGCCCGGCCGTGGCGCCCCGCTCGCCCGCGTGGAGTTCCGCCACCCGTACAAGTACCGCCGCGCAAAGGAGCTGATGGTGGCGCCGGAGGGCATGTTCACTGGCCAGTCCGTCCTCTGTGGCGTGAAGGCACCGCTTGCCATTGGCAATGTCCTGCCCCTCGGCCAGATCACGGAGGGGTGCATCGTTTGCAACGTGGAGGCGAAGGTCGGCGACCGCGGCACCATCGCACGCGCCTCGGGCGACTACTGCATCATCATCTCCCACAACCACGAAACGGGCCGCACACGTCTGAAGCTGCCAAGC